TGTCCTGCTAGAATTCAGTACAGCGTTCGATACTGTTGACCATAATATCCTATTAGCGCGATTAGAGCATGCTGTAGGTATTACAGGTATTGTGCTGCAGTGGTTTGTATCATATCTATCTAATAGACTCCTTTTTGTTCATGTAAATGGAGAGTCCTCTTCACACACTAAGGTTAATTATGGAGTTCCACAGGGTTCAGTGCTAGGACCAATTCTGTTTACATTATACATGCTTCCCTGAATAATCAGTCCCCATCTTATCTTAATGACCTTATAGTACTATATCACCCATTAGAGCACTTTGCTCTCGCACTGCAGACTTACTTGTTGTTCATAGAGTATTTAAAAGTAGAATGGGAGGCAGAACCTTCAGTTTTCAGGCTCCACTTCTATGGATCCAGCTTCCAGTTTGGATTCAGGAGAAGACACTATCTCTATTTTAAGATTAGGCTTAAAACTTTCCTTTTTGCTAAAGCATATAGTTTTGGCTGGATCAGGTGACCCTGAATCCTCCCTTAGTTATGCTTTTATGCTTTAATCCCATGATGCACTGAGTATTTCTTCTTCAGTCACCTTTCTCACTCGCTATGTGTTAATAGACCTCTCTCCACTGAATCATACTTGTTATTAATGTCTGGCTCTCTTCCACAGCATGTCTTTTATCCTGTCTTCCTTCTCTCTCCCCAGCCAGTTGCAGAAGATGGCCGCCCCTCCCTGAGCCTGGTTCTGCCGGAGGTTTCTTCCTGTTAAAGTTTTTCCTTCCCGCTGTTACCAAAGTGCTTGCTCATAGGGTGTCATATGATTGTTGGGGTTTTTTTTCTTTATGTATTATTGTTTGGTCTAAGTTGCAATATAAAGTGCTTTGAGACGATGCTGTTGTGATTTGCCATGGTATAAATAAAATTGAATTGAACTGAATTGTTAAAACAGAACTGAACAGAAATGAAGTTGATGACGAATACCTGGACAATAACATCGTAGTTACTGGCAGGTTTTAGGTATGTTAACAGATGGTTTCATTTAACCACCTGCAAAATATGTGTTTTAAGTAATTGCCTGCTGGTGAAAAATATGAAATATTATGCAAAATATTACAAAGCATCTACATAGTTAACCTTACTGGCTATTTTCCAGTCTCAAGGCCCGTTAGAGGGTAGCTTATCTTTTGTTTGTCTGTGAAGGTTCTCAGTCATCCAGGTCATCGTAGTCTAAGGAGCTTGGAAAGAAAAGCGTCTGGACTTCTTTAAGTTGCTTGAAGATGTTTCACCTCTCATCCGAGAAGCTTCTTCAGTTCTAAAGGTCAAATGGTGGAAAGACCCAGATTTAAACCCAGTGGGAGTGACCCCCCACAGAAGGACAAAGGACCCCCTGATGATCCTCTACCGGACTTTGGTAAGTTCACCAGTGAAGACACAAAGGATAACTGTTTGCCTTTCCTGGACTATGCTGTGCACATAGAAGAGAATGGCAACCTCAACATTGAAGTTTACCGGAAGCCCACACACACGGACCAGTACCTCCTCTTTGACTCCCATCACCCTCTGGAACACAAACTTGGAGTAATTAGGACCCTAGACCAGCGGGCAGAAAAATGTTCCCTTTAAGCCTGAAGGGAAAAAGAAGGAACACACACATGTAAAGGAAGCACTCAAAACATGCGGTTATCCTAATTGGGCGTTTATAAAGTTAGCAAAGAGGCACAGAAAAGAAGATCAGACACCAGCTAGGGAGGATAAGAAAGACAGACGCAACAACATTGTCATCCCCTATGCTGCCAGTGTATCAGAAAAACTGAGGAGAGTTTTCTCCAAGCACGACATCCCAGTGTATTTCAGACCCAGCAACACACTCAGACAGAAACTTATTCACCCGAAAGGCAAAACTCCAAAACACAAACTTAACAATGTGGTGTATGCTGTACAGTGTAACGAGGAATGCCCAGACCTCTACATTGGAGAGACCAAACAGCCACTTCACAAACGCATGGCACAACACAGAAGAGCCACCTCCACAGGACAAGACTCAGCAGTCCACCTGCATCTTAAGGATAAAGGTCACTCTTTCGAGGATGCAAATGTTCACATTTTGGACAGAGAGGACAGTGGTTTGAAAGAGGAGTGAAAGAAGCCATCTATGTCCACTGTGAGCAACCATCTTTGAACAGAGGCGGGGGTTTACGACACCGACTGTCTGCCATCTATAATCCAGTTTTGAGATCCCTTCATAGACGCCTTAATGCCCACTCACACCCTGGGCCATCTGACCTCAGGAAATCAGATGATAGGGCTTTGGAGTTGACGTCACGCTGCAATGTATTGTGGGAGCGTGGTGCCATTTTCCGGGTCCACAAATCAAAACAAACACACAGTGTTGGAACGACGACGACAAGAAATATGCGTAAAAGCAGCTCAAAAGAAAACGGACGGTATAGAGACCGATTGCGTCCAGAGGCGAAGCAGTGGTACTTGAAAAAAAAAATAGAGTGCATCGCAAATGTGGACCCATATGAAATACGGCAGTGGAGTAAAGACCCAGACGACTTACTGCCACTGTCCTACCCCAATATCTTCACGTATCTTGTTAACCTTAACCATCACGTTCGCATTTCTGAGTGCCCCATGTGTAACGTTGGTACCCAGTCTGGATTTGTTTGATCCATTTCATAGGCAGGCTTCCCTACAGTTGTGCGAAAGAATTAGCAAATCGTTACGTAGCACGTATGTCTGCACAGTCACTCAATTCTATGTTTGTTCGCAATTTCTAAAACCTTGAGAGCCCCAACAATAATATTATTAAGCTATAAAGAGTGAAATGAACATATATAGAACCGGAGTGAAAATGTCTGGAGAACACCAACAGATATCTGGAGATGGAAGCGAACTGGATATCAGCTCATCTCACGGCTGCTATCCAGGCTAGACGCCTTCATTTTTTAAGGTCCGCCATATAAGCTCCCTCATGTTGCTTTCAGGTTGGGAAAGAATAAAATGACAAACCCTTTTTAAGCTCATTCCCGTGCCGGTCATGCGATCGAACATTGCAGCCGACCACACAGCAAGGACGAACCTGTTGTGTGTGCCTTCGCTCCTTTTTCGCTTGCGCTTTGTTTGGACCCGGGAAATGGTGCATCAGGCCAAAATCCTTTCCATGCCCACCCCTGTGACATCACACTCCAAAGCCCTATAGGGTGGGTCCAGGTTTCACAATGAGCTCACCCGAAACCCTGGCTGATTGTGACCCACACCCATTTTCAAACCTTGGCTCATGTGATTTGGTAGAGGATCATCAGGGGGTCCTTTGTCCCTCTTTGGGGGGAAACTCCCACTGGGTTTAAATCTGGGTCTCTCCACCATTTGACTTTTAGAACTGAAGAAGCTTCTCAGATGAGAGGTGAAACATCTTCAAGCAACTTAAAGAAGTCCAGACGCTTTTCTTTCCAAGCTCCTTAGACCTTATCTTTTGTTTGCTGTAATCTCTACATCTGATTGGCTAAAGTTAGCCCGTAGTGGGCTACAAGGATGACTTCAAAGGATGTCCTATATAACAAGAAATCTGCCATGTCAAGATGCAAATGTCTATAATTACCTCACATGTCTGTTCCAGTTCCAGTGCAGCCTTGTTTCATTCAACAGAGGCACAATCAATTGGTGTTCTCAATCCAAGATCGTCGACACCCTTATCCCCTCCTCATATGATGAGCATTAGACACTTTATTCTGTTCTTAGCAGTGGAACAAAACATCCACAGACTATAGCTTGCATAGAAAAAGTTACTGCCAGGCACAGGCTTTCACTGATGTACTCCAGTGATTTAGCATTACATGCTTGTGTTACAGGGTAGCAGAGTAGTTTCGTCCCTAGCATGAGTCTCCATTAAACTTCAGTGATTAGTTTTTTGAGTATTTCTCATAACACACCGTGGCAGCATTATTTCAATATATATTCTGTCCATGATGAATACCCACATAGGTTATACCACTTGTCCCTGATTTTTAATAACATTTTTATTATACATTTGGTGACACAGTACTTTTAACATTATTGGTCCTTTTTCTACCATCAGGATTATTTTTCACAGGCTCAGGAAACAGCAGTCACAATCAGCCAGGAGTGAGGGGAAGATAGATGTGAAAGATAGATGATAAATAGAAGCACTTTTACATCATCCCCTGGTTTTTGAAGTCTCATGTTAAGGCCTTGAACACCTTATTGGTGTTTTGAAAATAGATGTGATAAGAGAATAGTGAATCATAAAGCACTGCGTGCTCATACATTACTGGCTTCTCATTCACAGAGTAGGTTTAGGTAATAACGTCATGTTGTATTCAGTAACAGTGTAAACTAGCAATTGAGACCATAAACTCATTATGAAAGTGTTCATTTAAGGTAGATTAAGGAAGACAAGGGCTGTTTTCTTTCTACGTCTGTACAATCGTTTCATTTTGGCAACCAGAGCATTCGCCCTCTGCTGGCCATTGAAACAAATCCCAGTTCAGGGTATTTCCACATTGGACTCAATGTTAAAACATCTGGCCTTTCTTCACTGCGATCATCTCACCTAACTTCTGTCCTGTCTCCTTCCCTCTTCCCAGAACCAGTCACATGATGACTGCCTCCTGTTAAAAGGGAGTTTTTCCATCCAACCTTCGTTAAGTGGTCAGAGGGTCGTCTAATTGTTGGGATTTTCTCTGTACTATTGACACAGTCTCTACCTTACAATATAAAAGACCTTGAGATAACTGAATTGAATTGCATTAAATTGGAATGACTTCCTAAATCTGGTTGGGTTATCTGTTCATTGTAAACTCTACTAACTTGATAATATAAAAAAAAGCAAAAATATAAAATAAAGGAGCAATATTATGAGGTGGGAAAATGTAATAATACACTTTAACATTTTTATGACAAATTTCTTCGATCATTTTAATGATTTCCCTTTAGTGCTGCTTTGCTGTCATGTTAATGTAACCTTTTTTAGAAGTGGTACATCATGTCACTCACCATAGTGTGGGATGATAGCCCAGGCCATGGCTGAGGCATAAATTCCTCCAATCATCCAGAACATGCACAGCCAGCTCAGATGCTCTCCTCTCTTCTCGCGAGCCAACACCTCCGCAAAGTATGAGAATACTATCGGTACTGCTCCACCGATCCTGTAAATACAGCTTGTTGTAATTAGCTATGCATGCTCAAAAAGGCAATCCTCATTTGCCTCATCAGCGCTTGCAACAATGAACATTTATCACAATATGAAACTGATTTATTGTTACAGAAAACATTTCTTCATTTGTCACTGTGAATTGTACAAACGTCTGAAACTTTTTTTTAGAACATGTCTTCGCATATTTTTTGTTCATTCATGTCACAAAGCAGATTCTACACTATTCTGGCTTATTTTCTGAGTCTTACCAGATCATCAGGAGGCAACGGCACTATCCACTGCAGCTTAGTATTTATTTGTACAAACTATACTGTCATCTTCTTGACCAAAGAAAATGAAAAATCACCACACTGTAGCACACAGGATATTACAGTCTTTGAGCCATCTTTGCTGCTTTCTATCAAACTTGCTTATTATATCATTTTCCAGAATCACAGGTTGTGTGGCCTTTAAATTTAACATAGTGAACATGTCTCAAATTGCATTGTTCCATATTAGTACGTTGTTGTATCTTGTGTTGATGTGAGGGATAGGTGCACTGAACTGAACCCTTTCAGTGAGGTGTCAGTAGAGTCAGAAGGAGCCCATCTGTGACTGCAGTGACAGTGCCCATTTTTTTCATAGCCTCAGAGTGTCGTACATATTTGAAGAGGAAAAAAACCAAATGGCAAATCTTACTAGTGTATCTCTTAAAATTAGAATATCATCAAAAAGGGTTTTTTTTCATAATTTATTTCAGAAAGTTACATTTTCATGTAATCATTCAACACGAAGACTTTTTGTTTTAATTTTGATGATAATGGCTCATAGTTCATGAAAATACAGTATCTGATAATGTATTAGTTATTTCTACAGATCAATAAAAAAAAGCTTTAACAATACAAAAACTTCTGAAAGGTATGTTCATCTATGCACAACTTTTTGAGATGCACTGGTTTTACTGCCAGTTTTATGGTTGACTACAGTGTTGCAAATGAGAGGCAGATAAAGAGCAATCAGCATTTCTTTTATTATTATACATTTGTTTCTGATTCATTTCAACATTAATTAGCTGAATTTAATATGGATAGATGGCTTTGGAGAAAAACAAAGATAGCATGTATTGAAAATGTTGAACTTCTCCTTTAAAGTCTGATCTGAGCTGTAGCTGTTATATCCCAAATTTCTCACTTGAGCAGCCATCTGTGACATTTTAATTTCTCACTGCATGTAGAAACTAAGCGCTAACTCATGAGGAACAAGTAAAGAATCTGCATTGCCATATGCTTTGTATTACCTGAAAGATGCCAATATTAGATAATCCATCCATTTATTCATAAATTTTTCAAAGTGCTTATACATCTAAGATGAGGTGATAGAGCCTGTCCTAACACTTAATTAGAGGTGGGGTACACCCCTTTCCATTTAAGATAAAGTAAATAAAACAAAATCAAAACCTTTTCAGATCATCAACATTACATATTCATAGAAACTGCGTAACTGCAAAAAGGCTTAAAGCAAATGAAAATGTATATGGCTTGTTTTCAATTCTCAAAAACAAAAAAACCAACCATGTATAAAGTATCCAGTAAATATTCAAGATTGTGGTGACACCCGAGAATCTGATGAGATTGGGTTGTGCCTTTTGTCCTGCTTCCTTTATGTCTGCGTGGGAGAAACTTACAGTAAGAGGTTATATATGTATGAAAATAATTGTCTATGATATTCATTCTAAAAATGTCAAAACCTGTTTAAGGTTTTGCCAGAGGAGTGACTGATATGACAGACTGGTTTAGAACATTAAGTAAAATTGCACTAAAACTTAATCTGTGTGAATTCTTATATTTTTTTTCATTATGGCACTGTGCTGTGAATGTCTTTTCCTATTTACTGAGACAGCTTCTGATAGCAATGCTAATAAGGTAGGAAAAACTCAATGAAAGGAACAGTGAAACACACAGCACTGGATGCCAGATCGTATTTCTGCCAGAATGAGGATGGAAAACAAAACAGAAGATCTCAGTGACCCCTTACAAAGCAATGCCTCTTTGCTGTTATTCCCAAAGGTATATGTACAATCATAGATACCATCCCACACCACAGACTACTTTCTGCATACAGATTGACAACTAGTGGTGACATAAAAGCTAAAGCTGCTAATGAAATTTTAAAGCCATTAAGGCAGAAGCTGTTTTTCAGATGATGTGAGGTTTACTGGTTGCTTACAGAACTGTAATTAAATGCACAAGAGCTGAGTGCAGCTCAGGTAAACCAATCATGAATGCCCTCAGGCACTGTGGCCCATTCTGATTTGAATATCCATTTTGGTCTAGTCATGAAGCAGCACCAGCTTAAGCCATCACAACTTGATCTAAATGTTTATACACTATACAATCTAAAAAGGATATCATGTCACTGAGATGGGAGGGCTGTCAAGGATCTGTGCAGCCAAGCAGACCATTAAAACATCCAGATGTTCATTTACACTACTAGCTGATTTCTGCAGACCTTTCTCTTTTGCTTTATTTCTTCTATACCCCTGGGTATGAGGAAGAGTGGATGCCTGGCAGTTAGTATAACCTCTTGTCATGTGTTTTGAATTTGGAGGAGGAGAGACAGCAGAGGAAGTGGTGGGAAGATAGATCAGAGGGTCTGCAGGAGCGTGAGAAGAGGAAAGTTAAACAAACTTACCCGAAGCCAGACACCATGCGGCAGAAGAGGAACATACTGTAGCCCTGGACAAAGGAGGAAAGGAAGGCAAAGAAGCCGTTGACTGACATGGATATAAGCAGGCACTGTCTGCGGCCCACTTTGTCTGAGAGGCCACCCCAGAAAAAGGCTCCAAACATCATCCCCAGATACACAATGCTGCCTGGAGGAGGGGAGACAGGGGGAAAGACCGTGGTAGATAGAGAGAGAGAAAGAGGGAGAGCTATAAATGATCACAACCATCTGGAGTCAAGTGTTTGTTACTGAAACCGCTGAGTAAACAAAATCCATTTTACATTTTGGAATATAAGAAGACAGTTTCAGCAATTTATTCATGCATCCTCACAACACACACAGCTTTTAAGCTAGAGTTCATAGATAACAAAAACTCCATCATTAAAACTGACTTAACTTACAGTCTGTACTTAAACTACAGACTTTAAATAATCCCATAATCTAACATCCAATTATTGCTTTACTTTTTTTTCTATAAGACATGGAAGAAAATGAGAAAAATTTGAATACAAAATAGATTTTGTTTTTGTTTAGACACAAAAAACAAAAACAGATTTCTTTGATATTTTTTATGTCTAGTTATTTGTTTTTACTCACTTACGCTCTGCTCAGCTAGATGGGCATATGTTAGGTACTTCTAGTCTTAAATGCATTAAATTACAAGAGCTGCTCAGTGTCCTAACAACATGTTAGACTGTTCAGCGCTCACACACAATAATGTCGTTCAAAAACTTCGGCTTAGAATATTTATCTATTCAATGGGATCTCATAATGTGGTAACTCAAGATTTTTTTTTCTTCTTTTTTTGCTGAAAGCCTAATATTGTACATTTTGCGGTGTAATGAAGATTTGACCATATATTAAATTTCTCCAAATCAAATCACTGTCTGACAACTGATATTTCTTAAAGTGTCTCTAGGAAAAATAGAGCAGCAGTTGACTTTGTGGCTCTGTTTCTTTGTACTGCTGCTTACCTGTGCAAGGTTGGGGTCATTTCTCTTCCCATGCAGTAAAGACATTGGGTGGCAGTGGTGGAGAGGGGTTAGGGTTGTCCTGTAAACAACCCACTTTTCTCCCTATGTTCTAATAAAAATGATAATTTGCGGAGGAAGGCGTTTGACATGGCAGCACCTGAAATAATCCTGGCAGATGATAGGAAGCAGCACCCCCCCCACCTCCCCCCATGTTTGCGGTGATGGGACAGATACGCTGAAAGTGGAGGGCCTTATCAAGCTGGGCAGACATGATGGTGAGAGGTAGTGATTCATTACAGGTGACAGCCCCTAGATCTATGCACTTCAGCTGCAGAGAAGGCTCTCCTATAGGTAGTAGGATATAAAGGTGAAGCTTCACTCGAGCTGGCTTACAAATATCAAACTGAATATCAAAAGTGCTGCATTCTGCACAAACTGTTGACACTTTTTTGATTTGTGTAGCTACATCTGAACGTGTGTACTGAAGAAGATGCTATCTGGGAGCACTAGCTCATTTGTTTTATGGCTTCACTCACGCTGCGTTTGTATCTGTAATAAAGGGGGAGGGTGATGGGGCATCTGAGAGGCATTCTGAGATTGGATTTGTGATTTCCTGCTGGGTTCAAACTCAGGTCAGACTTTAAGGGCCTTTATGCAAATTAGCAAGGGTCAGTTAGAGGCACTGAAGCACATGGGGGAAAAGGTTTTAAGTGCTTTTCTCAAGCAGGAAACCATACATACAAATGCATTTTAAAATCCCAGTGGTATAAATACTCCCACATAAAAGAAATTAGTAAGTGAGACTGCTTAACAACAGCATGACCAAGCATATTGAAAACAGTGCATCCATCCAGTAGTGTTTGCAGTAGAGCCCCATGAATCTTCATGTAGATACTGACGTTGTAACTGAAGGCCACTAATTGCTAGTTTCACCGTACTATGAATAGTGACATTAAATATCATCTATTCTGTCATGGTCCTGGGTCAGTGACCCAGCGCTTTTAGTTATCATTTTCTAGTTTATGATGATGATGATTATTATTGTTTGAGTTCTGTGTGTTATATTTGGTCTGCCTTTGAGTCTGTGTCTCTGTCTATGGTGTCACCCCATCTGTTTGTGAATCTGTCTGTTTAGTTCAATGTCTTGTCTGGTTCCATGTGTCTGAGTTTCCTGTTTTATTGTGAAGGTCTGTGTCGTATGTGAGTGTGCTCAGTTTACGTTTCCCCTGTCTCGTCAGCTGTGATTTCTCCCAGGTGTGTTCCCCTCCTGTCTCTCATCCCTTGATTACTGCCATCTGTGTATTTAAGCCCTGTGTTTCTCTGTGTCAGTGTCGCGTCGTACCCTCATCTAGCTGTGTGTTCTGCTTCTATGTTCCTAGTGTTTGGTCTCCTGCTCCAGTTTAGTACGAGGTTTTTCCCAGCAATAAAGCTGCGCCTTAAGTTTCACTTCCGTGTCTGAGTTCTGCATTTTGGGTCCACCACTCCTGCTTGCCTGCCACACAGCGGTTCATGACATATTCATTCTAAGAAAACAGCAAAACATGTAATAGATACGCCATTTGATTATGTCTATTTCACGCTTTGCCTATCCAAAGTGTGAAAAGGACACACCTGCAGTAAGTTGCAGTAAACTGCAGTAACAGCAGAGTGAGATATTTTATTTCAAGCCAACATGAAAATAATGGGGGGGTTTAAATAGACATTATTAACACATTTGCATGTACATACAAATCAGCCGCCTAGCTTAATCGTTTCTGACAATTACGGATCCTGGAATGCACTTCATACATTTTTTGCTCACTACCGACTTCGTGGTTATATTATTTCCCCTTGCTGGTAATGCTATTTCTGCATGCGTGCCCATTTCACGTTTTGGATAGGCAAAGCGTGAAATGGACACGGTGGATCAGCATATACATACTTGCTTTGCCGTGATACTGGGTTGGACACTGGATAGACACAACTATCCACTACTGTCACGGTCGCAGTGGCAGACCGTGTGGAGAGTGTGTTGAGGACCCAGGTGCGAACACAAGTGAGGATACGGGAGTGCACTTAAACAAAAGCGAGCCTTTTATTGTGACTGATGATCACGAAAGAAACAAGAATGAGGGCAGCACAAGAGCAGTAACTAAACAAACCTAAACTGGGAACAATCTATGCTATGGCTGGGGATACAAAAGACTGGGCATGGAAACACGGAGGGTGGGAACACAGACGACGCGACACAGACTACATGAAACACAGAGACTAAATACACAAGAGGGATGATCAGGGGAAGTGGCCACACATGGGAGCACAGCTGACACAGATAAACATAACAAGACATGGCAGGAGTAAACAACACTGAAGGGAGACTGTCAAAGTAAAACAGGAAGTACACAGAGGTGCAGACAGGAGGAGAGAGAGAGAACCAAAACACAAGACAAACAGAGAACAACCCACCCAGGGCGGGAGGCGGGGGACCCGGACAGAGGGAACGAAACCAAACAAAAGATGAGGAGCATGAACCAAAACTGAGTCCAAAGACACAAAAACAGTTCAAAACAGGGAGGCAAATGTCCAAAGAGGTCAGAAGGTCAACCCGGGGGGCGACAGCACAAAAGTTCACAATTCAGCTGTTCCGGGGCCGGCCACGTGAAAAAGTGGCAGTGGCGGCAGAACAGATCCGGAGGCCGGCCGCGTGGAAGACGGCGGCGGCTACAGAGCGGGTCCGGAGGCCGGCCG